GAATCGAATACTCATCGCTGTATGACACATTGATTCTTCAAATTGAGAAAAAAAAAAAAGATAAGCGAATATCAATTTGTTCATAAGCGATGCAAAATTTGGGATTTTGAAGCACGATTGTCCAGGCGAATGTGAATTGTTTAACAAAAAAATTCCGGACACAATCGTGGAGGAAGTTTCATGTTGAATCGCTGTTCCGTCTTGAGATTCGAATCTCCCGAACATACGTTCGGAGATGATCGTATCGGGAGATGAATTCGGATACGAGAAATACGAATCGAGATATCGGTAATATAATTCTTCAATAAATGACGAGGTACTGAAAAAAGTAAGTGCAGAGCCTCGTGCGCGGATGTGAGAAATGCGCGGCCGGATCGTAACGCAAGTTATGGGATTCCCGTGTAATCGTCCGATAAATCCGCCGTATCCTCGAAAAGAAATATCGTGTTTAAGCTTGATTCGGAAGTGAGTGTGATATAAAAATTGATGACACGTGGCTCTCGCGTGGTTAGCGCCGCGGCCTCGTAAATTCTGCATAACGGCACGACGTTACGTTACGGAAACAACGGTAGCTCTCTTGGACCGCACTCGAGCACTCGGGGATCGATAAGCCGCTCTTTCTTCCCGAGCTATCGAACACCACCAGGTCCTTAATCGCGTCCCGTCGTAAGCTTTAATTGTTTTACTCGTCCCATCGAGCCGAACGAACCGCTGCGCGATTGCGCAATCGATATTAATTTACAGCAATTAACTAGCGGCGTCGACCTTAAATTACAATAATTTCCTCACACATTTGTGGCTCTTCTTAAATTTATCTTTATCGCCGGTACAGATGATTATTTTATATTCTTATTTTTGTTGCACAACATTGCCAACATGCGTTTGCGAATTGACATGTGTGTTGCAAATAAGAATACGAATTATTAAAATCAATATGTTTGACCTTAATAAAAAATCGCGCGCACGCGCGCGCGAGCGTTTATATTTATCGAGTTATCTTGCCGAATGTTTTTAGCAATTTTGTGAATATCCAAATGATAACTTATCAGACTTTAGTTTATCAGACTTTTCAAGGAATGCATTCGTGTAATCGTTGTTATAATTATGTTTTAATTTAATCACAATCACTTCTCGCATCTTGATATTAATCGACGGGTAATTTTTAGTTTTCATTATATTTTTACGGCGTTTTATACATATAAATATGATTATTTTTAACAACTACGTTATATTATAATAGACTTTCTAGTAATAACGGCGTCCCGATAATCAGTAATAAATTTGCTTTATAGAGTTATATATAAAACAATTAACAAAATAATAAATATAATTATTGTATTTCGAGTAGCACTTTATATTTCGAAGCGAAATAATTATCTCGCTATTTCAGTTTCACTATTTCAGATTAAATTATTATTTTCTCTGCGAGACACATACACACAGCTTATATAACTTTATAATCGTATCATCAATCTAGCGAATCGAAAAAAAAAATAACAAAATTTAGATAAAATCTAACGGTAAAGCTTTGGTTTAATTCCAGCTTGGAAATGCTAAGAATTATGCGGCTTAATTACGTAGCTTATCGGTAACTGGCATTCTTAATTCTAAACGACTGTAGAGAAAACATTCGAAAGCTGCAGATTGAATGTGAAACTGTCATGGTACATCTGTCTCTCTCGCGCGATATTTGGTTTGATAGTTTAGACTTTAAACATTCACGACAATTCGCTACACCTATCCATCCTCGCAGAATCAGCTTGACCGCTGACACCTATTGTCATTTAACATTCGCTAACACCCGGAAACATGTACGACATTGCATTTCTGTCTATCGTGTATCTCGAGTTTATACGGAAGAACGACAATCGATTTTTTTTTTTTTTTTTTTTTTTTTCAAAGATACGAGTCATGTACGACGTGATTATTTGCATCAATGCGATTGGAAACCACACAAATCAGACTTTTTTTTTTCAAGAGTTAACCACGAACAGTATTTTATTCTGTCTAAAGCGTTTGAGAAATGTGGGAAACAAACGTCGATTTTAACTTAATCAAATATTGAATCAAATATAGCATTCACTATTTCACAGAGAATAAAACTTTGGTCGTGATTAAATTTTTTTCTGGAAAAGGGATGTTACTCATGCGGCTTCCGATTGTACTGATTTATTTAAATTGAACACTTAGATCTGTCGCCTAAAATTACGAGTAAAGTTCCGAAAAGTCTATTTTCACCCCGAGTTGAAATCTGATGTAATAAAATACGTATATTTATCCGTTTACTGATCAAATGTTTATTTAATCTTATTTATAAATTAAACTAAATTATAGAAACCGAATTCTTATTCTTCGACAATTTTGTTTTTTATTTCTAAAAAAAAAGAGATTATTACCAAATACAACAGTAGTCGAGACAACAAAGATCTTTTCGGAGCTTTAATCAAAATTACAATTACTTATGGTAAATACACGCAACGTTCGACCGGTCTCAAATAATATTCGTAAACATCGATTTTTTAATAATGAAAATTCCGGAAGCGGTATACCTTTCCTTTCGCTTTAATCGTATTAGAAACATTGAGAGATGTATAAAAATTCGACAATCAGAGTTATTTGCTGGTCCTTATATCGTATATGTATATATTTTATTTCTTTTATCCCAAATGGGATACTTATTTAATAATCATGCAAAAGATTCGATTCATGCTTTCGTTCTTTTAACAAATCTGATTAATAAATCAATAATTGCTGACGATTTCTGGAGAAACCACTGGGTGTTACTTGTTTGCGTAGTCGTTTGAAAATTCCAGGCGCGAATACGAAGATTTCAGTGATTTCGTTACGCGGCGTAGCAAAAGAGAACGGCGCCGACGTCGCGACACTCGCAAAGTGTACGTGACCCGAGCTGAATAATACAGGGTGTCTTGAAAAAGGATAAGTTTTTAGATTTAGATACGGTACTTACGCAATTCTATGAAAAAAAAAGTTTATTCCGTTAGATATTAAAATTAATAATAATAGAAAAACAAATATGAATAATTTTTCACAGAGTTTATCTGAAATTTTTTTATGTTAACGAGGATTAAAATGTTCTTGTAAAAGATATATATCTGTCATAAAAGGAAACAGGCTTGAAAGAATTAGAATGGTTTAGACTAACTGTCACTCAACAGGTACATAGGCACAACTTTTATCGTAAGCGTCATTGTCGCTTTTAAAAACGTTAACGGAACCGAGTTACTAATCGCCCTAGGGCACACTCACCGTGGTCGACATCAGCCGTGTTTTTGAAAGCACCCCGGTATGCGGAAAACTCCGGAAGAGGGCGAGAGCGAATCTCGGGGGAACCTCTTCCCGCGGAACGGCATTATCGCCGTTCAGACAGTTCTGCAATCTGCATGAGGTTGCTGCATCAGTGGAACTCGAAATCGTCGAGAGCATACCTCCCCATCACCCTCCCCCCCCTCCCTTCCTCTCCCTTCTTTGCTCTTTCTCACTCTCTGCTCTATCTACTCCTATCTATCTTTTCGTCTGTTTGACGCAGCACACAAGAATGTGAGAACATCCCTTGCCTCCGCACTCCCATTTCTCTCCCCCGTAATCCGCGCTCTTATCGGCGGGACACGAGTCGGGGCACCGAGATGTTCTCCGCGATAAGGTAATTCGAGGGAACTTTTCTGACGGACAAGTATCGAGGAAAAGGAGATGGAGAGAGAGAGAGAG